AAAAAAGTAAAACAGGTAAAAGAAAAAAATCAGGTACGATTATTATTAGTTATTTATTTAAAAAAAAAAAAAAAAGTTATTAATTAATATTCATTTGGTTTCGTTAATGACGTCATTCATTACCTCTTAATTATTATAAATATTATTAATTTTCACATCGTCCATCTTTTTTTCTTTTTTATAAAAAAAGTGTACGTGTGTGAGAGAGAGAGAGAGAGAGAAAGAGAAATAAAATAAAATATACGAACCTTAAATTGAAAAACGTTTGAACGAACAATAAAAAAATATTCATTTGTTATTTTATTTTGTGGTTTCGGCCAAACCCCTCCTTTTGTCGCTTTAACAACGGGACCCGGATTAATGCCTAAAAAATTTTTTTCTATAAAAAAACCTCGCGATAAATTTAAATAAAAATTAAATAAATAAATAAATGTTAGTAAAAAAAAATTTTCATTTTTTTTTTTAAAAAAAAACATTGTGATCCGAACTGTTAAACGTTTCACTCGACAGTGATTTACGCGACCGGGTATTTCAAATCACTTTTTTCAAATACGATTCATACAAATTAATTGATTATTATTATTATTATTATTATTATTATTATTATTATTATTATTATCCCCACGTGAAAATTTTTTCAATTTTCATTCCTTTCCACTTTTTTTATATATATATATATAAAAATTTAAACCAAGATTAATTTTTTTTTTTTTTTTTTTTGTTTTTATTTCATTTTTTTTTCTTGTTCTTTTTTTTTTTTGTTTTTTTTTTTTTTTTTATTGGGGGATTATTATCGAATGTAACAATAATTATTTTGATAAATAAATAAATAAATAAATAATAAATTTTTTTTTGCTGCGATTTAAAAGGTTATTTTAAAAAAAAAAAAAAAAAACAACAAAATCAACCCTTGGAAGTTTTTTTTTTTTTTTTTTTTTTTTTTTTTAGTTTATCATTTAACTGATAAACGTGAAATTAAATAACTATTAACAGATAAATTGATTAAATGTAATCGATATTTTTTTTTCATGTTAGGTTTATAACTATAAACCTAATTAATAAATTTTTCTTTTGTTGTAAACAAAAACATGTAAATAAATTTATTTAATGTAAAAAAAAAAAAAAAACAAACATGAATAATTACAATTAATTAATAATATCCTCTCTGCCTGTGTGTGTGTGTGTGTGCGGGGGTGCGGGTGTGCAATAATAATAATTATTTTATTTAAAATTTTTTCCTTTTACGGTAAATAAAAAAGTAAAAGAATAACATAAGTAAATGTGAAAAAATAAAAAAAAATTCTATCGATTAATGTTGCTATTTGATCCCATACTAAATTCGTATTTACTTTATTATTTTCGATAATTTCTTCAGATTCTTCTTCTTCTTCTCCTCCTCCTCCTCGAGTTAATTGATCTTTTAATAAAAGAAACGATAAAATATTCATTGAATCTATTTTTGATATTGTTGTTGATAACCATTGATAAGGAGATTTAGTTTTTAAATGAATGTGACGTACAACGATTGTTATTAATATTGAAAAAGATGAAATAATCAAAGAATCTCTAAAAAAAGTCACTGAAAAAAAAAAAAAAAAAAGAAACAAGTATTGTGACATTTAAAATAATAAATTGTTACAAATCTGATAACAAAAAGATAAAAAAATATAACAAGATAGAGTCGATACAACATAAAACGTTTGGAAATGATTATTATTATTATTACTATTTACCTATGGTGGGTGTTCTGCTACCGTTTGAGGGTAAAATCATTCCTAAATAAATACAATAAATAACATCGGAAAGAATAACAATGGCAGCAATTCCGACTCTTGTTACATACATTGTATCCATCCAAAAAATTGTTAAAGATAATCCTGCTAATACTGATAAAGAAGAAGAAGAAGAAAATTTTTTTTTTTAAATTTAATAATAATAATAATAATAATAATAATAGTAGGTAATTTTTTTTTAGTTGAATACCTGCTGCTGGTAAAATAACAATTGCTACATGAGCAGATGAATGTCTTTTAAGAATAAAATTACATCTAATCAAAGGATAAAATGTCGATTCGTCATCAACTGAAAGATGTTTTACTTGTCGTCGTGCTGTTGCTTCTTTTAATTCCCAAACTCCATTCGGTTTATACAACGTCATTTTAATCTGTTTTGTTAAATCACTCGTATTACGATTTTAAAATAATTAATAATAATAATAAATTAAATAACTCACTCCATTTTTAGGATCGAACAAAGTAAAATTAACAAATTTTCCAACGAATCCAGAGGATGCAAATGTTAATGTACAATTTTGATAATCAAATGGATAATTTGTTATTTCAGGTGTGCAAGGTGCTAAAAGTGTCGTCATTATGAAACAATAAACGTTTCCCATGTGAGCTAAATGACAATCGGCAGCTCCTGTCATCGACAGTGATTCTGTCGTATGAGACCTTTAAAAAAAAAAAAAAAAATTAATCTGTTGTGGTGGAAAATGACAATAATCTAGAAGGTAACTTTTAGGGAATTCATACCACGTGTCGACCATAATGTCGGGAACCCAAATTTCATTACTGCTCACTCTGATAAAATCAATACCTTCATATTCTCTTGGATCCCATTTCAAAAATGCATCAGTCCATACCTAATGATAATATTATATTTAATAATAATAATAATAATAATAAAGACATTTAAATTAAAATATTTTATAACATGTTTATAATTTTTTTTCTGGATTATACTTACATATAATATATTTCCTTGGAATCCTAATATTTCCTGGTGTTCATCCTAAAAAAAAAAGAAAAATGATTAGTTATTATATAAGTAGTACACAAATAATTTATAATATAATAATAATAATAATTAGTAGTAGTAGTACATACCATATATATTTTTGTAGGATACATTTGAAATTGAACTAATGTTTGATTTTCAAAATATTTAACAGGGCGAACCATTTTATTATAATTGCAAAATAATGTTTTTCTAAGTCGAGCTTCTGCTGATAGTTCTGTTGTGCAATCAGAACCTGATGTCTCTCCTGTTAAAATTAATTAAAAAAATTATTATTATTATTACGTTGAAGTTTTAAAATACAAAATTTGACATAACAATCCAAAAAAAAATAAATAAATAGATAAGTACAATTAATTAATTAATTATTAATTTTTTGTGGAAAAATACATTTTTTCTATTAATTATCAATATAGATTAATATGTAATTTTATCAAAATTTTGATTATAAATTTTTCAAATTTGAAATTAATGATATTATTTTTTGAAAATAATTTTCTAAATTAAATTATATTGTTTGTCACAA